AGAGATGTTATGACAAAAAAGAAACATGATCAGAAGAGCATTTATCATAAGAAAGAAATAAGTGCATATGGTATGGAGTAGATTTATAAGATTGTGATGCAAAGGTTGCACCACAATAATATTGATCCATTTATCCAGGCCTATTCTTTACTCTAAGAGAAACTCTAGGAGCAGCAATAGTAACTTGACTGTCTTGAGTATTTTTAGAAATAGTGGAATCATTAACAACATTAGAAGTGTTATTATTTTGTGCGGGTGTTGTGGCAAGTGAAATGGGTAAAGTAAAGGGAAAATAAAAAAGAGTGAAGTCATAAGTAGAATTAGTAGTGCCAACTTTATTATGAGAAATGTTTGACAATGAAGTATGGTAAGGAAAGATAGTCTCATGAAACACCACATTTCTAGAAGTAATGACATATTTGGATTGAAGATCATATAGGACATAACCTTTAGTTCCATGTTTGTAGCCATGAAAAATACATTTCAAGCTTTTGGGGGAAAGTTTTGTTCTACCAGTAGTGAGTGAACTAGCATAAGATAGACAACTAAAGACTTTGAGGTTAATGAGATCAAGCTTGGTTGAGTGAACAATTTCATAAGGAGATAGGCGGTTTAGGAAAGGGCTCTACAAAAATTGAGAAGGTGTTGATGCTTCCTCTCAACAATGTCATTTTGTTGAAGGGTCTCAACACATGAAGTCCTATGAGAAATTCCTTTTGCATTATAAAAATCATTGATGAAAAATTATTTTCCATTGTCAGATCTTAATTTCTTTAGTTTGCATGAAAACTGATTTTCTGTTAAAGTGATTAAATTTTGGAGGGGTCTGACCTCATTTTTGTTTTTAAGAAGAAGAATCCAAGTAAATTAGATATAGTCATCAACTATAGTCAAGAAGTAATTGTATCCTTCAATGGAAGGTGTAGCAATAGGACCCGAAATGTTAGCATGAATGAGTTCAAAAAAGGATGTTGATTTGTTGTTACTAGTTAAGTATGACAATCTCTTTTGTTTAGTAAAAGCAAAGGCATCACAAGCATTAACAGGATTAAAGGAAATATCAAAATTAAATATTGAGAAGCAAAAATTTGCAAAATTTTATTAGAGGGATGGCCCAATTTCATGTGCCACAAAGTACAAGAATGAGTATTATTAGTAAGTCATTATTTCCTAAGTGATGGAACAGGCCTTAATGCTTTCTAGCTACTTCAATCATCTAGAAGGTAGTTGTTTGCACAAGAATATAATGGATTTTACAAAATATCACAAGACAGTCATTAAAATTAATTAATTTAGGAATAAAAACTAACTGGATACAAAATTCAAGAACAAAAAGTGTGTCATAAAGAATGAGTTTTCCTAAAAGAATGGTACCAGAAAATTTAGTAGTTACAGAATGTTGATTAGGTAGTCAAATGGAAATAGGAGAAATTGGTTTAAGAGTTTTAAAGGCAGATTGGAAAGGGCAAATGTGGTCAGTAGCACCACTATCCAGTATCCAAGAAGAAGAAGAAGGTACAGAACTTGAGGAATTGGTAGTGCATTGATGAACAGTTGTCACTGGAAGAGAGGCTTTTTGTGATTGTGGTAACAAGGCAAGTATGGCTTGATATTGCTTTTTAGAGAAACCAAATTGAGCACTTGGCTTGTCAGATTCCACAGTAGAAAAATTAGTGACAATAGAAGTTTCACTTTCAGCAACACTAGCAAAAGGCTTTGAAGAACCAAAATTATTCTTGAAATTGTTTTTGTAACCTACTGGAAGTCCATGTTTGATCCAGCAATTTTTAGAGGTGTGATTAATTTGTTCTTTGGCAATGATCATAACACTTGTTGTTGCATCCAATAGACCTATTGGAACGACCTCTGCCTCGAGAATTTGAGAACCTCCATGAATTGTGAAAGAGTTTTTGTTGGAATTATCTTGAAAATTGACATTAGCAATTAATTCTTGTGAATTTTGAGAGAAAGAACCATTGAATGCACGTTGTTGTTGAAGAACTAAGGAGAAAGTTTTCACAAGATTTGGCATAAGTTCCATGAGCATGATTTGAGAACGAACTTGAGAGAACTCATCATTAAGGCCACGAGGAAATTTGATGACACAAGATATCATCATCTCGCTTTTTTTATTTTCATAATTAAACCACAATTACAGGGAGAGGAACAAGTACAAACAAGAACCGTACGATACATCGAAAGCTCTTTCCAAAGAATTTTCAAATTACTTTAGTATTGTGATACAATGGAATCACCTTGCTTTCAATTTTGAAGCTCCTCCTGTAAATCAACAATGCGAAATTTGTCACCATGAGAGAAATGCTTAAGAAGATCGCACCAAATGTTAAAAGCCATGTCCATCCACATATAACCGATTGCTTGATGGAAGGTGTCATGGATCGTGTGAGCCAAGACATCACCATCTTGTTGCATCCTTTCCAGGTTTCATGTAGAGGATCGGTGGAAGGAGGACAAGCAAGAGCGCCAAGAACGAATTGGTCTTTGTTCTTCGTCTCGAGAGCCATGATCATGTTGTGTTTCCATTGTTGATAATCATTATCAATGAACAAAGGAGTGACGAGAACGAGTGTGGGATTTTCTCTTGGATCTAGAAAAAAAGGATTTGTTGGATTTACAAGGTGATAAAAAAGATTGTTAGGGTTCGCCATGAGAAACCGATGAGAAAAAAAATTAAGTTCTAGAAGAGAAGCAAGCCTCAGAGGACGCAATGGCATAAGTTTAGCTCTAACACCATGTAAGTGCTTGCAATTCAGTTCAAAAGAAAGATGATGATTAAGAAGAAGTTTGTGAAAGAAAAGAGAAAGGAAAAGATCTATGAAAAGCTTTCATGTTTATCATTTATCACATACAGAAACAATTGAGAGTTTGTTATATATATAAAGCATAAGTAACTAACTCTATCTAAAGGATCAAAACAGAAAATAACAACGAATCATATAGCTAATAATTACTGAATCTAGCTAATTACAATTAAATTCAACTATAGCTAGATAATATAGAATGAAGATATCATTCTATCTCTAATAAATCTAAAGTCACTTTTACTTATACCAACCAATAAACATAACATTCTCTTAAAAATTCATATATGTTAAGTTGAATATTTGATTTTTTAGGTTATTTGTATCATATTATGAAAGGAAAAAGTATAGAAGAAATTATAATAATATTTAAAATTTATTTTTGATACAAATATTTTTTTAATGTTAATGATTAAAATTACACCTTACGTTTTTTCAAAATAATTATTAGAAAAATAAGTAATTTATCATATATTGCAATTCAGGATTAGATGATAATGTAAAATGTATTTATTGTCATTTTATTCTTATTAAATTATAATATTTTTGTGATTTATTACGAGAATAATTTTATTCAGGGTCAATACAAGAACAAAAAATTTGTGAACTAATCAAGAATCACTCTAACTATAAAACTTAAAATAAATATTACGGAAATTAATAATTTTATTATACATAATGGCCTTTAATTAGATAACTATAAGTATATTTAAAATAAATTCTTATACGATAAATTTAAACAAGTTTTTATATATATATATATATATATATATATATATATATTTTTATAAAAAAGATATCTAATAGTTTACTCCCTCTGGTCATAAGATGACTTGATAACCTAATTCATTAAGATTAGAAAAGTTGGTTAATTTTTTAATAAAATTTTTAAATTTGTCCTAATTTTTTTCTTTTATAACTACTCTAACTTTAATAGGATCCTTACTCTACTAATTACTTACTCCCTCTATTTCAATTTAATTAAATTATTTTATTCAGTTGATTTCATTTTTCTTATCCCTATATGTATCCAAAAGTAGTATCTATATAACTATTTCATGGTCTTTGTTTTTTTTGGTAAGACAAAATATACTAGATACAAGGTAGGGTATATAAGGTGTATTATTCGTGTCCGTTACATCATGGTATATCTGTTAATATTATTATAACAAACAAACTTATAGGATGAGTTAGATCGCCACTCATAATAAAATGATAAAGATATTTATTATCATAACTTTAATCCATAATAGCTTTTTTCACCGTTATGATTTCAACCACTGAATTTGTGTTCAGTTGAGAATAGTTAAAACACATAGTTTCTATGCATCTATATTGATCAAATTATGCACATGTAAATATGTTTTCAAAACACGATCACATCCCTCTTGGTTGTCATCACCAGATATGTGAATTAAAAAAAAAGAAGATGAGTTTTACCTAAGCATAGGATGGTGTATATGCACCTAGTCACAAATAGCACCTTTATCAAATGTTATATGAAACATCATGGGAGATAAAAACAAGTATTTTGTTGATTCTGTGTTAAATTTGAACAAAAAAATTATATATATATCCTGTTCGGTATATATATAATATCCCGTAGATTGGATTTCGAGAGAATTTTATCGGTTATTATCTTTCATGTTAAAGCCATGATTATATTAGACAAATATATAGTACCGTAGAGTTTATTACTATAATTATAATAATAATAATAATAATAATAATAATTATTATTATTATTATTATTATTAAAATATCTTTCAATCAATAATCAAAAAATAATTTTTTCAAAACATAAAGATCATCAAAATAAATTTTATTTATTCCAATAAAAAAAAATTTGTATATGCACATCCAATAAATCAATCCCCTGTTAGATAATGTACAATTTCCTATCTAGATGATGGTCATGACTACAAACCATCTTGTAGGCTAATTTTGTTGAATATGTTCTACCTTCCATATCCATAAATTATTTTTTTCTTCAACTAAAATCCATAATTCAACTTCCACAAGCTCATAAACAAAGCATCAAACTAGTTTAGACGACACTAACTTACATGTTTAGAAACATTATTCCTCCAAAATAATTATTTTTTGTTTTCATCAAAAGTTTGTGACAAAAATAAGTAATTATTTCTTCAAAATAAGTTAAACTAAACATGTAAGATGTGAATATGATCAAAACTTTGCACTCATCTCAAAACAAATTTGTGATTGCTTTGTTTTTTCACTTTAGACACATCAACCTCAAAATCACATACGTACTTTAGAATATATAAATATATATAATTCTAGCATATTCAATTCATCATACTAGTTCAGCACTATTTTAAAACCCCAATAATTCTTTAACAAACAAAAAGCAACTCCACAAAATATATTACAAGGAGAGTAGCATAATTGTTGAGACATAAACATCTCTTCAAGTGCCATTGGAGGGAGGTGAGGAACATTCACACACTACTTCAGTTTCAACCTGTCTTTTGTGGAAGTTCCTGTGGCAGCCACATGCAGCACAAACGAGAGCAACACTTGTTCCTTCTCCACCACTGGCCATGAACTCCCTGCAACCATCAACAGCATACCCTCCAACATTTGCAGCATGATTCTTCTGGCACTCACCATATTTCACACTCCTAACGTTTCTTTGAGGCTCCTCTCTTCTCACAACCACTTGGCGCTTCCTCATGTTACTTGAACCCTTCAAATCTTCTCTGCTTCAAACTCTGCAAATTAAGATTAATATACTGCGAAAGTTTTTTAGGAGGTTTGGTGAATTGAAATTAGAAACTGGAATAGATAGAAATCAGAGGGAGAAAGAGTGGGGAAGAGTGGGGGAGGGTTTAACTTACTTGCAATAGATATGCCCCCCTAACCCTAGGTGTGTGTATTTATAAAAGATAAACTTGATCTCCACCTAACAATGAATATTTGAACAACTATGTGGGACCTACTCATAAGTTATAATCATTTTTCTCTCTTTAGTGTATTATTGTTCAATCATGTAATAATTGATTAATGAAGGTTTTGGTTGATATAGAAAATATCATTAATTAAAATATAAAAATGTATTGGACTTTAATAGGCATGTACTATTAGTATTAACTTATTTTTCATTATCAATCATTCAAAAGAATTATCTTTGATAACTTTAAAGAAGTTATTATAAAAATAAATAAATTTATCATATATAATTACATGTAACTATTATTGGATAATAATCTAAAAAAAATTACACCTTTGATATAATTGAATTAAATTTTAATCTATCATTCTTATGTATTTTTAGAGTAATTTAAAAATTACATAAATTGTAATGATATTAAAAATATAATTGAAGTAAGAGATGATTATGATGACACATAAAGTTTATTAAACTTTCAATGATGGTAGGTGACACATCTTGCTTTTTTAATTACTATAGAAGCCCTCGCTGGTAAAACTAGTCAAATAGCTAGGTTTAACAAATTTGCTACGTAATGACATAATTTTTAGGGAAGAGTCATGTCATCTAGTTTTGCTATTGGATTTAATGAAGATTAGGTCTTCACCATGATTTTCTTTCTTTCTATAACTAAGTATTCTAGGATGTTATTTTTATATCGGTGTCGATATTCATTATTTTAATGATTATTATAGCAGATAGTTTGACTCTCTGTCGGTTGATAGATTAGAGCCCTTCTTATACTTAATTATTATACTTTACTAATAATAGTTTGTTGGCTTATTAAAAAAAAAAAACAGATTTCTCTTATTTTGAAACTTCAAACTTGATTACATTTACATTATTTTTAACTTTTCTCTTTGATTAGGGTTCCAAAAGGTTTCATAACATTTGACAGTTAAGGTGAATGAAAATTTATAAATATTTTTTTCTTAATCCACTTAAACACCATTTTAAAGATAAAACTATTATAGACAAATAAATGTTAAAACACATAATATTTTGGATATGATAATTTTAATGATATCAAATATCCAAATAAAATAAAAAGGAATGCAATTTATGAGCAAGTGGTTATTTTGATAAACCTTGATGATGTAATTTACCTTACTTTTTCTCTATTCACCAAGCTAATTCAGTGATTATTAGGTAAGATTGAAAATCAAACGTATGCAAAATGATTCCCAGATATATGAGGAAAGCCCTGAATAGTGATGGGTTTAATTTGGAAAACTTTTTCCTTTTCACCTAAGTAGTGATGGGTTTACTTAACAAAACTATAAAGATGAATTTCATTTGGAATGACCAGCTAAGCCAGATTCAAGCGTCACACATACCATGGCACCTAACTTGATTGTTAAAGGCAATTTTGTGAGGGGCACTGATACGATACCAATAGCATTTGTCTATAGCACTTGACCTAAAAACGTGAGTATGATAGATAAGCTTTGCCAAACTTGTACAACAAATTCACAATGATTCCTTTGTTTGCATGTATACATGATAATGTTTAGGAAAACAACTTCCATCTTTTGATCACTCATTAAACCAAAGTCTTGTGTCAAAATTATTGTCTTCTTTATCCTTAATTAGTCATTGTGTTACCATGCCAAGAATCATTTTGGTAACCAAGCCTTCCGTTTATGCTTGCCATAAAACCTTTAACTAGTTGGTAAGTAACTTCAACTTTAGATTTATTGTATTTGTACCAAATATATATCAACCAACCATTCAGCCACATAACTTTGTTTTCTTAGACAAAAGTTAGATAGGAACACATAACGCATTATCAAAATCTTGCAACGAAATCAATCCTTGTAAAAGATATGCTTAGCAAATATTTTCAGCCACTTTTTTTTTTAACTTTTTTCTTCTGTTTGGGACAAATTATACAGTTGTTGGCATATAAACTGTTTTTGAAAAAACCGTTTTGTAACAGTAGCACGTTTTTGCAACAGTCGCATAAATGGAAGCAGCGTTCTTCCGATTTTCACGTATGCATTCCTGATTCTTCTCTTCTGTTAAGCAGTTAACATATTATGAATGTGGTCCATTATTAATATTGATTCAACCCATTATCAAATAACTTGCGAATATGGTACCATGATTCTCACACATTTCTTCAACGTTCAAAAACACTCTATGATAGATTAGAGTTCTATAAATTGGACGCATATATCTGTTTTGAGTCACTGAGCCTACTCTCCTCTTTAGCATACAACACCATCGCGTATTGAGAGTAAGGGTTCAGAAACTAGAAACAAACAAGCGAACAACAATGGCTGAAGGTTGGTTCTTTAGTTTCTGCAATTTTGAGAATGATCTGAACGTGTTTGTTTTGATTGTTTTCCATATTTAGATCTTTAGAACATTATTTTTACAACAATAACATGTTTTCGTAATAATCTGTGACTTCTGTAATATTTATAAATAGAAAAGATTGGTTTCGAGAATTTATTCAGCTTTATTCTTGTCCGTTAATCAGTTTATTCGCATATCACACCCCTTATTTGAAAACAGATTTCGTAATAATCAGTTTTCGTATAGAAATGATTTTTATCATGTGTATACAAATTTATAGCTAGCATGTTATAATATTCTACTTAATCATTATAATTAGGGTTAACCTAATGATAATTTTACAAGGAAAATGTTTATGCTTAAAAATGTTGTTATTATGAACATAATGACTATAGGTTTACATACTTAATGACAATTTTATAGCACACATTTGCCCCCTAAGAAAATAGTCAAACATTCATGTCAAATTTACCTTATTTTTCTCTTGAAATGTTAAAGAGAATCATCTAAATACACATTGTGTCATGTGTGTACAAGTGGATGATTCTAAGTTCTGTACGTATAAACAATTCAGAAGGGTGCATGTTCCAAATGTTCGGTTATATAGTATATATACTTGACATTCCCTATGCATCCAACAAAAAGAGATTATGTTGTCTTAGGCATATGCTATATAGCTTCTTCAAAACTAAGGAATATATAATATAATATAGTAAGACAAAAATTCCTAATGTTTTAACTGCCTCTGATTTTTGGTTAGGTAATGCTGGTATGTGATATTGATGGAAGACTAATGTAAGAGGAGTTCATTTTCTCCCTTATCCATTTTTGGTCACCATGTGAGAACATTGTTCTTCAACTCCCTCGTAGATGCTCCTTTATGCCTAAATTGAACAAAAAGTTCCCGACATCACCATTACTCCATCTCTTTTTCGTGGTGACACAAGGATGCAAAGGCTAGTTTAGTCGTTAAACTTTTAGCTCATAAGTTTAAGCTTTAAATAATTAATACTTATAATAAAAATAATAAGTAATTAAGGAGATATTTACTCTAATTTTTCAGAAATATAGAGTTTTAAAATATTTGTATATTAATAATGCTGGGGAAATGAAATTTTATTAATTGAGAAAGGTAATAATTATATAATTATAAATTAATAATGTATCAATTTAAAGATTGTTCGGTTAAGTATATCTAAATTTACCATAGAATGTTGAAAGACTACAAGTTGGGACAATTTAATCTAAAAGAGATTGATATTTTGTATGCCATCAGTTTTAGTTTGGACGATTAATGTTCAACAAGAGACAATAATAAATTATTTATATCACGTGTAAAATTTGTTTGGTGGATGAAACATTCTCAAGGAATGTCAATTTCCTGTAAGATTACCTAATGTTTATAGGTACAAATTAAAGCTTAAAAGAAAATACCTTTGAAACCAATTGCATGAAAGGAAACATTTTTAGCAGCAACAACACCTTACAATTTTTGTTGCATTTTTTGAGAACACGACACGAGAGCTTTAAATGCAATAAAGAAAAGTTAAAGATAAAACTCACCTAAATTTAAACTTCAAGAGAACATAATTTCATACTTAATTATCTTTGTAATTTTAGAAAACTATTAGCTAGTTTATGATATTGATGGGACTATAAATTTTAATATATAAAAACTTAAAAATTATTGTAACACTTTGATTTTCATACCTTATATTAATAATATTTTAGAAATTATTTTAGTATGTTAATGTATTTATTTTGGGAGTTTTGGTACTATTTAAGTATTCATACGAGCATTATTTTGTTATAAAACATGATTTGTAATTATTATTTTGATATTATTTAAATAATTATATGAGTACTATTTTATTTATGAGACGTGATTTATAATTATTATTTTGATTAGTGATATATAGGTAACTTTTATGAAATATATTTTTATTAATAATTGTGCTTATGATTATTTGATTAAAAGGAAGAGATATGTTTTAATTATATTAATTATTTTATGGAAAGGGAAGGAAGGACGTGATGGTCATTTGATTAATTATTATTATTATTATTATTATTTATTTTATTTTTATTATTTTAAGAAGGGAGTTATCAAAAGTTACCTTACGCTTCATTCTCCTGACTTCTCTTTATTCATTTTCTTTATGCGCTCTCTGAAGACCAAGGTGAAGTTTAGTGGAAAACATACAGAAGGGAGGGTTGAATATGTGTGTGAAAAAAGGATTTTGAAAACCATTTTTGCAAAGGTGCTACTTTCCGTCAGAAGATAATATTTCAACTACGTAAGGAAAGTGTAAGATTGGTTAAAAAGAACTTTGCGTCTAAAGATCTATCGTCTGTTCGAAAATGGTTTCCTTAGTCAAACAAATATAAGTTCATCCAAATATTGTTTAGAAAATAGATAGTAGTACACGAAGTTTTTCAGAGTGATGAGTCAATGTGAGTAAAGCAGTGTTTCTAAATCAAATAACAATGCACAAAGTTTTTATACTGGTTCATTCATTTTGAGCTACGTTCAGTCTCCTTCAACTGAAGGGTTTCACTAATCACAATGGATTACAAGTATTCTTAACCATTTCTGGTTCGTTAACCTCACTTGCTGACGCTAGTATTCTTAAAC